GACTATGGATTGGATTCTGAATTGTTCTTCTGCAAATTGGAAGAGTCTCCTTCCATTTATAGAGGACATTAAATGCAGCCGAAGCTCCTAAACCCAAGCAATCCAGGATGGGGTGAGCAAATTCCTCTTTCCTACCCTCCACATTCCTCATAGACCTGTTGCCAATGTATAGCTCTCTAGATAAGGAAGAATCTATAAAATCCATTCTGCCCCCAACATATTCTTACATGTTGGAAGAAGGCTCAAAACAAAACCTGTGAAACTTCCTCACTCTATGGTATGCTCATTGAGAAAGCTTGTGAATACTGAACAAAGGAAAATTCATGTTTAGTTAAATGGGAAGAGGAGGAAAAGGAGGAGAATTCATTTCTACAGAGCAGGGGTTTCAAACTCAATTTCATTGAGGGCCGCATCAGCATTGCAGTTGCCCTGGGGGGGTGGGGGGTGGCCAGGGTGGGTGTAGAGTGGGTGTGGCCTATTGGGTGGGCATGGCCAGCTCTACATCATTCGCGTCAAGGGTGTCTGTGGGGGCCTGGGCAGGAATGGGACAGATCTGAGGGTCTCTGGCAGAAGGGGGTGGGACCGGGGCAAGTGCCAAGGCATGGTTCACTGGAGGAGCCTCACTGCCTACTGAAACTCCTCCATTAGAGCCCATCAAGCTGGATATGTGAAGTAGGTAAGGGCCATTTGCTGGCTATTTCCAGGCAATGGTGCAATTCTTCATTCCTCACAAAGGGTGACACCTCCCCAGCATGCACCCAGGGGATTGGGCCAACGTGGCAGGGGCTGGTTCTTCACTGTTTCCAGACGGCCTTGTAGAGCTAAGACTGAATGCATTTGAGCATAAATAACCCAAAACTGATCCTCTGTCTTGGTAGTGACTGTATGGAGAACTGAGCCACTGGTCATCAGAAGGATTCTCTGGTTTCCATAGCATGCAGTGGATCAAGAAAAGAAAGCTAGAGACAACAAAACTGAGTACAAAATAATTTGATAGGATTCTGTAAGAGAAAGCAAAATTGATTAAAAGTAGATTAAGGAAGATAATTCTACCATTATTAGATTGTGTCTAACTGGATCTAGCAGATCATTTGCATTTGATACTAAGTCATAATAAACTCAAGCTATATGACTGTTATCTGTAATTTATGGTTTAGCATCATGTGTGAACTAGGCTACTATGACTTGTTTAACAAACCATTGTATCATGTAAACATAGTTTACAAGATTTAATCAATTTATCTTGACTTGGTGAATAAAGAGCAGCAATGCTTTTTATTCCCAATATTTTTTTATCCCATAGAAATGAGAATAACATAGTGTAGAATTTGAACAGTTACTTTTTGAAAGGTTATAAGTGATGAAAACTTGCCAGGCTATTATCTATATTTCCTTGAGGATTTACGTAGTTTATCATGCAATATAATTATATGAGTTACATAGATAGATACATGCTTATTTTGTTATGCTGCTATAAAGGAACAGTGATACAAAGACTTGTGTCTGGTCAATGATTTATTCTGGGCAGACAAAAGCAGCCCAATATAAACTAAACAGACCACTTTTTTTAAACTACATTCAAAAACCGGCCTATCTTTTTCAGCTTGGTTAAATGCTCATGGGTGAGTTAACTAACTGGATTAATTTGCAGTTGAGATATTTTGGGATAGCATATTTCTAGAGAGCTACCCAAGATGTAGTATAGATTCTCTCTAGTATCTCCAATTGACCAGCTTATTCCTTCCGAAGTTGTGACAATTTAGTCTTGCATGACATGCACTACATTTTTCCTCGTCTCCCATTCCAAGGAAGATGAAACATATTCATTCCTTCATCCTGTCCCATATCTAATTCAAAATACCTTCTATTCCTCCAAGAGGATAACCAGCTTCATGCCTGGGATATCTTTTTTCTGCTGAGGCTACATGGGAGTAATTGATCTAGCCTTGCAAATCACATTCATCAAGTCCCAAGAGAGATACAATATTGTACATTTCCCAGACTATTGCCAGAATGTTGGGTGACCACAAGACCTCAGATGTGATCAGCTTGGGAAGCCAAGCACAATTGCTGGAAAACAGTGGTAACCTAGGATGTTGTTATTTTTCCTTTAACATTGCAACTGCAGTATTTCTCTGCTCCTGCATTTTAGTGGTTAAATCACCGGACTAAAAACCTGGAGATTATGAGATCTAGTTCCACCCTAGACACAAAGTCAGATGGGTAACCTTGGGCCAGTTACTCTCTCTCAGCCCTAGGAAGGAAGGAAGGAAGGAAGGAAGGAAGGAAGGAAGGAAGGAAGGAAGGAAGGAAGGAAGGAAGGAAGGAAGGAAGGAAAATTTCTGAAGTGTCGCCAAGAAAGCTGTTGGAGAACAGAGGACTTACGCAACAGGACAGCAACAAGGACTGAACCTTCCAAGTAATTTTGTTTCTGTTTAAACATTGAGATGTGCATTTCACACTTGACAAATTTTATTGTTTTGTCCAGAGACATATTTTTCAGTGCTCAGGAAATGTGACAATAACTAAGCCATTATGAATCTTGATTCCATTTTTGGAAATTAAGCTAGAAATTGCTAAGGAAGACTTAGACAATCGTTCTCAAAATGCAAGGCCACCTGCTGGCCCTGAGAAACAGAAATTGGAAAATCCAGAGCCATTAGGATGGTGAGGGAAGTGGCGATTTTAACTTTTGCTGCTCTGCAGCCTTCTTTACAACCCCTCTCCACCCCCCCAACCCCACCCCCAAAGTAACCAAGGTTGTAACAGCCAGCAGCTAAACAGCCATGACTGAGAGTAATAAATAGAAGAAATTCCTTCAGAGTCACCCAGAACCTTACTTCCCCCACCAGGATATTTCCTGTTTCATACTTCAGTGAATAATTTTGTTGCATACACAAGTTATAGTCAGGTTACAGCACCAGAGTGTTCTGTAATTTTATACAGTGCCCCAAACCAAACCTTTGCATAAGATGTTAGCTAACCAAATGGGACAAAATGCCTAATTGATTTGAACTGGGATTCTTATTTTTTATTAAAAAGCTGTCCAGAAGGGAGGGAAGGAAGGGGAGAAGGGGAGAGAAGGAATAAGAATGAGAACAACTTTTTTTCTCTCCCTCTTCTCCTCTGAAAGAAGCAGCAGTGTCTCCTTGCAGAACGGCAACCCTCAGGATACAGCAGTTGTCTTCAAATCTGTGACCATAAAAAATCATTATCTCTGTGAAATACAGCAATTTGGGAGATAATCAAACAGTGACCAGGGGGCAGAGCTGCCAATCTGAAGGATTATGCTCAGCGCACGCTTGATTCCGTCTGACCTTCCTCCGAGCCAGCTGTCAGCTTGGCGAAAACGCACATGGATCAACTCGGGGCACATTCATTAGACTGTCTTCAGTGAAGGAGTCATTTGCATAAAACCCCAGCTTTCTTAATTAGTACTTCATTTTTCCCTTGACTTATTTTGTGGCGGAGTTTGGCCTTTTATTTATTTGCTAAAATCTCTAGGAAAAAAATAAGTGTAAGTGGCAATTGTGTCTGGAGTAAGAAGATATTTTTGTTTCTTTCAAACAAGGAGTGGACCGAAAAGGAGAAGGCATTCTGACTTACAAATTAAGTTTCTGAGCATTAGGCTGCCAATTAGTCTACTAATTTCTATATAAATTCCATATATTTCAAAAAGAGTGGTCAAATAAAAAATTGAGTAATTGCATTCAAAATGTATCATTCCCATTTTTTAAATTCAGAATGTCCGGTGTTTGGGCTAAAGACATGCAAAACTCTTTACTTTTTAACTTCCAAGGAACAGCTATATGAATGAAATTCTAGGGTCAATTAATACAATGTGAAAATTTTAACATTTTCCTAGATTGATCAAGTCAGACAGATGATAGATGATGACAGATGATAGAGATAGATAGATAGATAGATAGATAGATAGATAGATAGATAGATAGATAGACAGACAGACAGACAGACAGACAGACAGACAGACAGGCTATGTCATCCCACTTCATAAAGTCACATAAGTGAGATCAGTGGTATACACATGTCATGAATAAAAAAATAAAAGCATAATGATATAATTATGCACCTGCAATAAATTTGTCATTAAAAGAACCTTAGATGTGTGAGTCTGAATTGCAAAATAATGAGCTAAAAGACAAATATTTCAGTAGTATCACTTCCTCAGGATGCTAGTTGGTGCTGCCAGCAAATCTATACCTAAGTGAAGGAATGTAATGGAGAATTGGAAATGGTTAACCAGTTATACTCAGTGTTTTAATTTTACCCTCACAAACCTTCCTTTAATGCAGTGGCAACCTCAAGATCTTCTCTACCATGCAAATCACTTGTTCCAGATACCATTTCACTATATCCATGTACTGTTCAAAAGTTGTACAAGGATGAAGCAGCCAGTACTCAGGATGAGTGAATCTTATGACTGCATAATTCCCATATGTAAGTATTGATGGATAGATGTTTTTTCTTGAGCAAAATGTTATAGTTCTGAAATTTAGCAACTATATTTAAGTTCGGATTCATTATGATTGATTGATTGATTGATTGATTGATTGATCATATGCTATCAAGTTCAGATAACATCACAAATACAATCAATTGTGATATATGCCTCCCTTTTGGAGGAAAGTAATTTCATATATTCCTTTTGTTCTGGAGCAGGGGTGTCAAATTGCAGGTCCGCAGACCGGATGCATCATAGTAAAACCGCGCCCACTCCATTGCCAACAATGGAAAAAAAGTCACGATACATCATGACACTTCACGTGACAATGAGTTTGACATCCCTGTTATGGAGGAATCATTGGGCTTTGTAAACATTCATTTTCTTTTAAAAAATAATTTTATTGACGATTATAATTGCAATAAGTAAAAACTAATACAAATTAAAAGACAGGAAGAAGAGTAGAAAGAAAAATAAAAAGTATAAAGAAAAAGAATAATCAGAATGGAAAGAAAGAAAGAAAGAAAGAAAGAAAGAAAGAAAGAAAGAAAGAAAGAAAGGAGTATCTAACGACAAAGAAAAAATAGAAACAATTTTAGTAACTTTTCATCTCATCTTAATTTATAACCAATGATCTCTTCATACCATGTCCTGTTTTATATCTATTTCAACCATCATCAACTTTTAATCTTCATCAATTTGATCAACTTTTTAACTTTGATCAGATCTTTAGTCCATTTAAGTAATGTTGTAGAACTTGATTTTTTAAAATTTCTTTTTTTACTTCTTCTTACAAGATCCATTCAAGCTTTAACAAACCTCTTTTGTAAATCCAATATAAAAGAACTATCCAGGTGACTCTCTTGGTTTAAGATTTATAATTCCCATTTGATTTTTAAAGTATCAACCAGTTTCTTTTATGTGTTCATTGAAATATCTTTTTTTTCCATATCATTTTTGTAGCCTTTTATTAGTAAACACACTGTCAGTATCAACTCTATAAGATAAAATTTGTTTTGTAAAATAAAACTTCTTCTTCTGCCATTTCTTCAAAAACATCTTTTGGACACAATCTATCCATAGGAACAAACATTGCTATTGATATGAACTTCTGATTCCATTTTCAAAAGTATCATTCAGTATTTGCAATGTTATCTTATGTTATTCTGTAGCTATCAATCAAGTTTATTTATTCTTCTCCTTTAATTAAAATGTTTAATTCCCTCTAGTCTCCAAGTTAAAATTGTTTATCTAATTTATGTCTCTAAAAATGGCAATCTCCCATCCTCTTTGGAGAAATTCAAAAAGCTGGTCTACTAAATGGCTCTTCATTCTTCACCATGGCCATCAGTTCTACTTTTCATGGAGTTATTTTCAGTCCATCTTTGCTTCCTCCGTAAGTCCTAGATATTCGTTTTCTTTATCTATTAATAGTGTGGAAATTAAAAGGAGAACAATAAAAAATACATGCAAGAAAAAATGCTGCTACAATTTGAAAGAACTACATAATGATCTAAAAAGTACATCTCTCCCGCTGTATTTGAATAAGCATTTTTCTGCTAAAAGTCATACTTTTGTAAAAATTACTTAGAAACATATATAATTTATACAAATCTCTACATTTAATTTCCCACTTTTTCCTCCACAAACTGGCTGTGGGTTAATAAACAAATCATATAACAAAAATGAATATATGGAAGACTTGGTTTCATTTGTCCATGAGATTTGCAAATTTTATGGGAGTCATCTTCTCCTCCTCTTTCTCTCCTATTTTTCTTTTCTTTTTCTATATATATAAAAATAATTTATTTAAATGCCACTTGGATTAATTGCCATTTGCAGAGCATGAGTTATCTATTCTCTGTTAGGAGAACAAAGATTGTACAATCTTTTTTCACAGTTGAATTTGGTTTCATTTTCCTCCTTCCCTCTCTTTTAAAGCAGCATTTAAATCTAGTGACTGCTGCTTAAATTCCTTATTCTACCCAGATAGCTAATGAGAATAATTATTCAAGTATTTTTCACTATGATTTGTCTACTGAAGGCTCCAATAAAACCACCAATCTCATTTTTAGTGAGGGCAGGGGGAACACCAAGCTGGCCAAGAACTGCAATCCCTGAAGTAAAATAACAGGATTTTTATTTACTACGGTTTTCAGTCTATTCATTGGTTTTATTAGCATTGAAATAACATTTGAGCGAGATTATATTGCAGGTCTTTTTTTTACATGGATATTGAAAGGTTCACAATTAAAAAGTCTCTGTTAATATTCTGATAGCTTGTAAGCAGCAGCCGAGAGGGATTTTGAGTTATAGCTCTGTAGCAGCATAAGAATATGAGATTGCTTATAAATTCTTCTTCTGCAGTGCTCTTCCTATCAACAAAAGAAATGTTAAATGCCTACATGGGAAGTGATTTCTAGCAATAGAGGCAGGGTCTAGAATTAAATAACTCATTCTCTGGCATATCAAGTTAAAGGACATTATGCAATAGATCCAGATGTTGGATACCTAGGTTATTAACATTCCCATTAATAATCAAGGCACAAAAATAAAATCAAGCGAATAGCATGGTTGTACAGGGATACATCTAAAACTTGACCATCAAGTTTTCTCCACTCGGTTGTCAGGAAAGTATGGGCTGGAAGGAATGGCTATGTGCAGAGAACAGCTATGTGCAGAGAACAAGGCAGATCAGTTGTTGCAGTTATTGTAGAAGTATAACTTGCTCCAACAGGAACTAGTTCATACTAAAGATCTGCATAGTTCTTCCCATTGTCTCAAGGGCTTCCAGTCCAATTTTTTGTGGCTCTAGTCCAGTCATAATGCATAGTTTGGATAAGTTTTCTCTGTCATTGGGCAAAGGATGAAAGTCCTATTTTGAATAGGAATCAAGATGGCATACATTCCATACAGCCATAATCCCAATCTGCGCTCCACATACAGCAACAAATTTGTTTAAAAACACAAATTTGTTTAAAACACTGAACTGTGCAAACTGCAGAGCTGATTATATCATATAACATATATATCCATGGCATTTCAATTATGCCATTCCACATACACTTATATCTACTGAAATCCCATTAAATCAGTACATCTTAAGTATCTAGCTATGTTAGACTATGGTGTGGGCATGTCTCATGAAGAAAGATTGAGAGCAGAATTTGTTGATTGCTCCAAAATAAACTCAAATTAGGAAATCTAATCTTTAAAGTATGCCCTTTTTCTAGTGAGGATGTCAGTACAACAGTTTGTTTAAAGAATACTATTTAACACATATTTTATAACTTGTAGAATTTTATGTATTTAATGGTTCTATTTCCTCTTTTCTTTTATAGCCATTTTAGTGGATTCCATCTCTTTCACCCATTATCCTCATTTTGAGAAATTGCATAATTCAATAAATAAATATATAATAGTAACCATTGTTGCTACTACCTAAATACCATTACCTGAAATTTCTCTGAAACATTAAAACTTCAGAAAGGTTAATTAATTACATTAGCTGTGTCATTACCATGGCAAAGTCCTGCCTGGAGGGTGTATGGATCCAATCAGCTTCTGAGTTGCAAAGAGCTGTGTCCCTTTGTGGAAGAAAATTTATCAGACATTAAGAACATGGTCATTAGCAAGACCCATTGTTTATCCTCCCTCAAGTTGGGAAAGCCTCAGATAAATAAGAAAAAATACAGCAAATGTTTGCATGTATAGCTCTGGAAGAGACCATTACAACAAAATATTACATTTTTAAAAATCATAGAACTGAATACAAATCAATCTGAGTATATCAAAAAGAAATGATTATGCCTATATTGACTGAACATTGATTCTTAGCAACTTGTAGATTATATTATTATTACATAAAGAATAAAATTTGAGAATTGCAGACAGACACACCATATATACATACAGATACCCATAAAATATTGAAGCCGAAGAATGTAACAACTTTCATTCATTGTGACTTAGTTTTTTAAAAGATTTTTGAAACCAAGATCCTCATAGCGAACATAGTTCTTGCAGTTATGTTTAATAATAATATATTACAGTACTAAACCCATTCCCAATACTGTGAATTTTTAGTACATGGCGAGTAGTTCTACGCATTAGAAAGGGAGAAGGAAACACACCTTCTAGAACAGGGGTGTCAAACTCAATTTCATTGAGGGCCGCATCAGCATTGCAGTTGACCTTGGGGGCTGAGTGGGTGTGGCCAGGGTGGGCGCAGCCTACTGGGTAGGCATGGATGGAGTGGGTGTGACCTACTGGGTGGGCATCGTTCACGTCAAGGCTTTCTGTGGAGGCCTGGGCAGGAATGGGACAGATCTGAGGGTCTCTGGCAGAACGGGGTGGGACCAGGGCAAGCACCAAGGCATGGTCCATTTCTTCAGTCCTCACAAAGGGTGACACCTCCCAAGCAGGCACCCAGGGGGCAGGGCCAACACGGCAGGGGCTGGTTCCTCGCTGTTTCCAGATGGCCTTGTGGAGCTAAGACTGAATGCGTTTCAGCAAAGATGGCCACCACAAAATTGTACATGGACTCCTGACCGGCCTGGGCCAGAGCCAAGGCAGTGGGGGCCGTTCCCTCACTGTTTCCAGGATGGCTTCACGGGTCACATGAAACCATTTTGCGGGCCGCATACGGCCCCCGGGCCTTGTGTTTGAATGTCTGTTCTAGAATTTCTGCTTTATGCTTTGTATCAGGCTTGTGGTGGGCATATCATGTAGTTCAGCTCTGGAGATGAAATGAGTAATCCATTTTTCTTCTATGGCTCTTCACTCAGCCATTGAATGAAAATAACTCATGTAAAAGTAAGTAGTGAATTGCAATGTTCACTGTTCCAAGGACATAAAAAACTTCTGTCAAAGTCAGAAATATGGTAGATTCATGTGGTTACATTATACAAACACTTACAATTTGAAAAGAGAGAGGAAAAGAAAGGAAGAAACTGGTCAAGTAACGGCTTGCAAAAGAGTTACTAAAGAAGCATTAATTTAAAAAGTAGTATACTGTTGTGAAAGAGATGGGATGCAAGAGAAAAGGAATGGAAATAAATCATTGGTCACAATTCACTGACAAGAGAATGATGATTCACACAATGAGCATGTATGCTATAGGATCATGGCATTTTTGTTTGGAGGTTTCCACTCCAGCTAGAAGCTCAGTCACACAAAAGTAGGGTGAAGAAGTTGCATGGCCTCTGGTGAATCCAGTGGAGAAGTCCTGCCACTTCTTTTTGTACTCAGTTTTCTTGCCATAATTATGGGATCAGACCTGAGGATTCAAGTATTCAGCAGTCAAGAGGAGGAAAAAAAATAAAGGGAAGTATATTTATAATAAAGTCTCCTTCTTCATCATCATCTCTGCCATATCTCCATACTGTAGGTGGGGAAGGCTGAGACAGAGAGGGGTTTTATCTATATTTAATTTATCTAGGAAGCTATTTACAGAGGAAGGTTTCAAACCAGGAACTTCCAGATGCTTAGCTATAACCAATTTGGATGGAAACTCCATAATTACTACACAAATTGACAAAACAGCAGATAAGAATGGCATATTTTGAGTAAAACTCAAAGTGAAACCTGAAAACATTTAAGCCAAACACAGGTGCATAATTTAAAATGTTATTTAATACACAATTTAAAGCCAAGCATATGATGTAAACTTTGGTGAATGAATCATATTTTCATTTCAAGGACAAAGAGTCTTGTGAATAGGTATGAAAATATGGTATGAACAACTGATATGGCCTACAGTGATAGGTGAGCACAAATCCAAGCCCCCTTCCTAAAAAAAACAGCTCTGTGTCCTGAGAGTCTTCTTCATATATAGTACTACATAATAGTGAATTATGAATAGATAAGATCAACATCTAGCTACATCAGAAACTAAGGAAAACAGATTCTTAATTTTATTAATATCAGCTCAAAATAATCAGGCAAAAATCTCTACTCACTCATGACCTCTTCTGTCTTCTCTCCCATCCCCATCTCACTTCTGTATTTTGGCAGATAAATTTATTGTAGAAAGTAATGAAATATTAATATTGTGGAGTTTCTTTTTTGTTTCCATTTAGACATGATGAATGACATATTGTTGGGACTATTAAAGTTACAGGGCTAATACATAAAACTATATTTTAGATAGTTTTTTTAGTTTTAAGATGAAACCTGTCATCTTAAATGTGAATCAATGTTTACCATTTTAAAACATACCTCTGGTTTAGCACAAGTGCAATAAATAATAAAATTGTAGCATATTGGGGACAGTAGCAGCTATACTGTAATTTTACACCCAAACCTAATTACAAACTAGGAAGACCAGGAAATGGTGCATTATGGGAATAGACTCAAGAAGATTTGGCACTGCATGCACAACAACTTCAGTCCTTTAAAGTTTTAATTAATCTTCTTAACTGTGAGAGGAGGAGTCTAGTTAACCATTAGCTCTGTAATATATTCTCCATAAGAGTAACCAGGAAGTCCTCTTAGAATGTTTCTTCAGCACCTGAGGGACAACTATTATCAGCCTGACATAGGAAGACTTATTAGGGATTTTTTAAGTTAATTTGTCAAAGCCAGCATACTTGCGTTAATTTTATTATCAAAACCCAATTAATTTCCTGTAACAGTATCAAATTAATTACAAAATAGGCTAGAAATAGCAAGAAAGAAGGGATACCCCCTTCCTTTCCGTTCATTATGGAAACATGTCAGGCCCTTTGGCAGTGAAGGCCTATTAAGGAATCACACACTGTTTTTTTTTTTTCTTATTTAAAATTCCACTGGTGATGTGAAACTCAGGAAACCTCTAGAAGATGGAACTTTAGACTATTCATTTCCTCTCATTAGTTTTATTTTTTCTTCATTTGTTCATTTCATGAACTCTGGACAGTTATCATAAAAACTTGAAAAGGAATAAATTAGCTTATTGTTTAAGGAAAAAGCAGTTTCACATTCAGAATGAGAGAAAGAGTAACTCCAAACTCAGTCTTCATCTTTTTTACCATATTGTAATCTCTTCTGAGCTGCATAGTAGTATCTCTTGATACTGAGTTGCAAAGTCCTTTATAGATTTACCAGACTGTGAGTTTCATCTCCCCTCACTGGGACTAGAGATAGTTCAAGAATTCATGGCCACCATAGCAACAAGGGGCCTGTCCTTGGACCTATCTGACCTGCTCTAAATTGCTGGTCACAGATAAAACCTGGCCTTTTCCTCAGAGCAGAGGAGACATGGGATATGTCTTAATCAGTCTTTTGTTGTGGACAGATCACTTTCTTATGATGATGGGGTTCGTTGGGGCCACCAGAGCACCTACTAACCAGAACAAGTGGTTTCTCTGTACCTGCTTGATCCCACATGATTCCTTGGTTTTCTGAGGAGCTCCAGAAAATAAAGAGTGAAGAGCTTTTAGTGATATTGATAGGAAATGGGAAGAAGGACACAGAGACAACCTTAAATGTGAGCCTGTACTCTGCTAACAAAGGCAGCAAAGAACGACAAAGGATCCCCAATGGCAAACTCTGCCAACTGCCAGAAGTCTGATCCTGACCGGCTCAAGGTCGACTCAGCCTTCCATCCTTCCGAGGGCTGTCAAATGAGACCTCAGATTGTTGGGGGCAATAGGCTGAAGTGGTAAACCACCCAGTGCTGTAAAGCATATGGTGCAGTATATAGGTCTAAGTGCTATTGCTATTTCTCTGTCCTTAATACATCGGCAAAATTTTATCCTGCTTTACTAATTCAGTGTCTCAGATCCTATTTAGAAAGGACAAGGCAAGAGAACCACATTAAACCTTAATCAAGCACTTTGTAGATAAAAATCAAGTTGGAAGCCAGATATACAGAAATCTATTCAGGTGACTGTTGTGATATTTTGTGAAATTGCATGGGAGGTATTTAGAGCTGGTGAATATCAAGGAAGTATGTGCACATTAAGCCCACATAGAAGACGAAAGCTTTCTTACATTTATGAGGCTATGAGACTGAGTTCCTGGTCTAGAAGCATCAATGCTAAGATTCAGTGGGCCTTTTCGACAGGCTATTCCATAATGACAAGGACTCCCTTGGGTATAATTTCCCACAGTGGGAGGCACTTCCACTTTTTTAATAACTCTTCCTCTCCAGAGGACACTAGTATTACCACAAGATAAACAGTGTGTTCTATTGTGTGAGATATATTCAGTGATTCTAACTCCCTATTGTTAAAAAGACTGAGTGATTTTTTTTTCTTGACTCCCTGCTTGGCCCTTGCTACTTTCTAGTCAGCCTCCCTTCTAGGCCTGACACTCAGAATAGTGTATATCACACAGAAACACAAGGAATATTTGAGGGCTGGTCATTCTTGTCCTTTCAATGTTCTTAAACAATAGTGAGATTTGTGATGTGTCAGTCACCTTTGTTCTTCACTTGACTGCCCTACTCACGTCTACTTAGGATTCAGAAGTCTACATAAAAGAAATGAGGGTGTAAGAGAATCTCAGTTCTTTCTTCTCCTCCTGCCTTATTTTTGTACACTTAAAAAAGGAAGGGCTTCTCCAATTCTGTCTGAGTAATAAAAGTGAGATGACTGAAGAAAGA